AATAGATGCACAGCAGATAGAACTCCGCGAGCCCGGAACAAGCTAAACTCGGAAAAGGCAAATTATGCGCTGATCAAATTTCAACTTTACGTGTCATCATAAAATAAAGCACGAAATGGCAGTTGGACCTGTACCTCAAATTCATCGATTTAGAGAAGACCTTCGACAAAGAGCGTTGACCGAGAAGTAATTTGGAAACTGCCTCAACACTACGGCATGCAGTGCCCAAATCTTTATCAATCCCACTCAACAGCTGGTCATGTGACAATGCCACGTGTCGGGTGATCCACAGCGGGAGACTCACTGAAGCGTTCAAAGTGCATGCGGGAGTAAAACAAGCTGACTTACCGTATCATCATTGTTGGCTTTAATTTAAATGTGTTTTGTTTTTGCTTTTCTATCAGATTTACTGATTTTTTTCTCTAGCAAGCATTATTTAGTCGTACAGTTTTGCTCATCATAATGTCTCATTTGTCTAGAATGGAAATTGATTTTATGAACTCCACTTCTATGGGTTCTTTAGTAACCAGAAAAGTTGCGTCACCTGAATTTGATCGACATGACCGGGAACCATAGTTTGTTCAACTACAGCAATACATTGACGGTTATGGCATCAAGTCTGAAAAAACATGTGGTTTCAATCGCCTTATTAGATTGTTAAGGAGGAGCTGGACCTTATACTTCACCCCTAAGCCCGCCCCAACGAGGAGTCACACACAGTACTTGGTGATGAAACGCTTATTCATGTCAGAAAACCAGCGCTTACGGTTGCTTCAAGAGGCGACATGGGAGACAGACCCCTGTCAAAGCTTGCACGGATGACTTACTCGCAGCTAGCCCAGATATAAACAATCATGAAGATCTAATTCAGAAGGTATTACACAAAATAGAAGACAATGACATTGCGATCTATCAGGACGAGTTTTGGGTAGAAGCAGTAGAGTTCCCAAAACGTGTTATGGACTGCACTGAGACCTCACGAATGTCCACAGAAGCGGATACTATCAAGCAGGATCCTTCACCCACATCTCTTACACAGCTAAGCAGTTTCATGGGGGTGACAAACTCTTATAGACGCCTAATACCTAACTGCGCACAATATATGCATTAAGGGGCAAAACAGAAGACTTTCACTCGCAGAAATAAGCTATATTTAGTAGTTTTGCCCATTATCACACCCTGGAGTAAAAGCTTTAGCCAAAATGATCTCGGCGAGATACGTTGGGCCATACTTACAGCGTGACATGCAGAAGCGGGCGAGGGAGTTCATGGAATGCCAGATGCCAAAAGTAGGCAGACACACAACGTTACCCTCAGAGACATTTTCCAAACTGAGTACTTGTTTCATCCATGTTCAAGTGAACTTAGTGGGTCTCCCGCAACACTAAAACAAATTCACTTACTTTTCCGCATTCATCGATAGGCTCGCCAGGTTCCCCGTAGTCGCACTACCCACTTATATTATAGCGCAAATGGTAGCGAAAGCCCTTCTGCAAGGTTGAGTAGTCGTTTTCGAGGCGCTGATGACAATGTCAATTCAACTCAGACCTTTTCAACAACCTTTCTAAATTCCTCGAATTACACGGAATTCGCTGCACGTGTGTGAACAAACGCTATCAATTTTTGAATTCACCTCGCTTCTGTTTCTCTCATCTTTCATTGGCAAAACAGTGGCGATCAACTGGATTTTTGTCTTCCCGTATGTAGGTATTGTCGTGTACGGTTCTGTGTGGCTTTATTGTGCGTGGTTTGCAAACAACTATGATGAATATAAAAGAAATATTTGACTATTCTAACGCTTTTCATTGTTATTTATATAGACAATGCTTTTTTCATTGTGCACTCTCTTGAAACTGGTTAGCCGTTCTGGCGGTTATCAGTAACCACGATCCTGTGTGTCCCAATGCATTTCTTGAGTTGTGGTTATACGTACAATATTTTCTCTGTCGATGTTTCTCAATCACGTAGTCTGATATCCTGTGCTTTTTGCGGTTACAAGGTGTGGCAAGTGTGATTCGTTAACGAAGCCCCTATTAGAAGTTCATCGCAGGTAATATTTTTCGCACCATTAATGTATTCCACATTTCGTAAGAAGTGAAGAGTATGATTACCGAATTTACTGAATGCTTAAGTTGAGTATGATAATGCGTGTTAATAATGTAAGACGTAATTTATGTGAATGAATTATTATCGCTTGGCGACGGTGAGTTTAATCCGCATCACTTCTAGAAATGTGGAGTCGTAATAGGGTCTCACAGTTGCCTGAATTAAGTGGGAAGCAGGTGTGGTTGCATTCGGACGAAGACATCCAGAATTTACTGGCGAGTGTCTTACCATTTATCAGTAGATGGATTTTCATAATCAGTTGTAGGAAATGATTCCACACCTAAGTACGATCCAACCGAAAATATCAAGTGGTCAGCCTTGATGATAAACATAACCATGGCAACATCAGAGCGAACGAGCGGTCAGTGAAGGATAGCATCGTTTTAACACCAAGATTTTCATGGTATAAAGCACCAGCTCTAATGGCTTCAAGCAAGTACTGCCTAGTTCGCTATTCATACAGTTTGCCCGTGCATATCTTTCCAGTGTGTATGAACTGTAATCTGAATAGATATTAAAAGCAAATGCGTGTAAGAATTCCAGAAATTTATGGGATTATACTGAAGAGGGAGGGTCGAGAATGCCCTGCCGACCGTTTTAGATATTGTCTACTGGGTAGCAGTAAAGCGTGCTCAAACCAGGAATTAACCGATAACAGTCTGGTATAGTAATTTCACTAAGTGTGATCACGGGCAGTAATTCTGTTTGAAATGTTACCAAAAAACAAAAAACTTATCGTTGTGTGTAGACTAATGAGTCATAATTGAACTTTTTCAATAGGAAGGGCTAGCAGTAAACCAAGAAACGAATTAAATTATAACTTTTCTTCGTAAAATATTAGATAAACCATCCCAACCCGATTCACGTAGATATACACATATATTCGGCATCTTTGTTTTGGGGAGATTCAAAGTATAGATTCGTCAAAGCCCTCTAGTTCACTCGATAGACATAGCTTCGAAATATGGGCCAATCAAACTGTCAATCTTAGGGAAGTCGTTTCTAGTCGATAAATGATGTAGGGCCTCTACAACGCGATGAGCTGGGCCACTCAGATGCAGTAAGTTGTTGACAAGTTCAGAAGAACAGGACGAGCAACCAAGTAGGAACTACATGTTCAATATGATTTGCAAGGCTTTGGAGTAGAAGTGGACATCTAAGGATAAATAGGCCCGTCGTATGTCGACAAGTGTAGTCTTCGCCAAAACTTGAATTTTATATCAGATAATTGAAAGAAAAAAGAATTGTTTATGAGTGTACAGATAGCATGGAAATCAAACTCTCTGAAAGATGCAGACCGAATTTCACACGCTTTATGGCTACCACTCAAGAAAATATCAAATATTTTGGGTAAATTATTCGTGAATTATGAGAAACACAGTCTTCAGAGAGTTCTCAACTTGTGTTTCAGGTTTTCTGTCAGTGATCAGTTAGACATTCTTCAATTTTTTTGACTCTGCACTGTGCCACTAAGTCCTCAGGAATTCTGATGCTGAATAAATACCTCTTATCAAGTAAAACTCAAAAATGATGCTCAAGTGCAGTGCCACTTGTTTAAGTCTCATGATTTGACGCATTTGTCACCCTCGCAAAACGCCATTAGTGATTTTAGTCTGAATTCTTCTCTTCATAACAGATATGACTACTTGTGTAGAATTTTCGATGAAAGGTTTTTGGTGCACATTGAATGTTCAGGTGAATTATTAGATGAATATCCTGGCAGCCGAAATTTGGCAGTCAGCCCAACCGTAAGACTGTTATAGATGTTAGCGAACTGTAACTTGAGAGAAATTATCTGGCCAGAAGCCATGGATTTTAGTTTGTGATAGTACTCATCAGAAATACGTTTCCGAATCTTCAATTTGATACCTGCGTTACTCTTGTGGTTCGATGTGCTACTGGAGTCACTGAGGCGGGTTTTGTTTACAACACAGTAAGCCGGATAGACTGTTTTTCTTTATAACCAACGATAAGCTTTGAGCGATATTGATAGTTCCCTCAACAGAAATTTCAGAAGTGCCGCGGACGGCGGACACCTACGAATAAGTCGTAATGATTAAAGCAACCTCTACATATTATACGTATCGTAAGTCAGCAGGAAGGAACAACCACTAAATAGATTTACGTGAGCTTGTATTTGAATACACACACCTTTCGAAGGTTGCAGTGGGTTCTCCATTTAAAAGCCTGAAAATTCAGGACAACATATTTCTAACTCTATGTAAGATAGAATGCAGACCTCCACACCAGTGTCAGCGGAATAGCTGCTTTAGTGACAACATGCGTAATGCTGAGTAAGCTGCCACGATCTTCTGTAAAGTTGGAAAGTAGCATAGCCTCCAGTAGCCTTCTTATTCATGTTTAGAAGATGACAAGAGTCATCAGCTACGCAAGATCTGCTTTATTCGAATGCGAGTGTATATATTCTGAATACAAAAGCGCTTACCACACTTAGATATGAGAACTTTATGTGATCGATATCAACGGAGCGGACTGATCACCCACAGTACGAAATATACTTTGAGGTCGTAAACGTAGAGTGATGTTGTTAGCTTAACTAGCTGGAGTGAGTACACGGATGACCGGAAGTAATGGGACGGCGTGTCAGAAGACACAGACGCTTGGCCAGGTACCTTTAGCTTAACCATTGAGGGTCTTCACCCTATTTTGGGTTATGTTAGGAAGTTATTTGCAACTTTTCACACTAACATACCGTCGGTGGAGATGTGACCTTATTTCACGTCTCATGTACACAGTGATAATTTCGTTATTAACCTTTCTAACCCCTTCTTTTCATAGGAAGCTGATTAAACTGTTGTCAAACAGAATACAGGGGTATGCACTGCAGTGGTTTACGCCAGACAGCGATGGTCTAATCTCCATTGTTCGTGAATCTTGAATGTAATAACAAGACTTCAAAAGCGGTCGCTTTAATACATGCGCTGCATATGCTGGTATGTTGTTTTTGTGACATTTTGCGTAATGGAGTTCGTTAAGTTTCATAAATCACATGCTACATAGGTATTTACTTTAGTGTCAATGATATCATGTCACATTAAATTAGTGTGGCAGTAAAGTATTATTAGGTTCCTTCACAATCGACTTCTTTTCTCTGTAGTCTAGATTGTTTATTTTTAGTTTCATATATTCGTATCAAAATCTTACTGATATGTTCACTTGTAAACTCGACATAAAGCCCTTGTTTTGAATTTTGTCATAGTGACAATTTAGACAGTGTTTACATGTTGAAAGTAACCTTTGTTGTAGTGTTGACCATTTTCTGTGCAGTAAATAATTGGTTAGAGTTGCGTATAAACGCTACAGCTCCGCATAGTGCCATAAATAATGGAGTTCAAACTCCTGAGTGGAGAAGTGTTTTGAGCGCCAGATAGTTAACAAGGAAAAGATCGTGTCACCAGTATCAGGAGTTACCTCCGTATATGCATTAAGTTGCTTTATTTCGAAGGCTTCTCAGTTGTCAATCTATTCCCTTACACTCTCATTTCACCATAAATATTTTTCAAGCTTCTTGTTCTGTCTGGGTAAGTACAAGCATGTACTTTTCGTTCCTTCATGCTTTATATTTCTGCACTCGAACTCTTATGACTAACTGCTTCTCTTCTTATGAAAGATATTTAAGTAGCATACACCCCTTTTATATCATTCCCTCTTTATCATCCACAAAACTGACTGACAGTTTTAATAAAGACATGCAACTACTGTGTGTTTGAATCAGATGTCTTGCAGACATTCCATTCCTAACTTATTTCACCATGTAACTCATTAACCGACGAATATAAGGGTTGTGAATTGTGTTTTTTTTTTATTCCTTCACGTTCCCAGTGGAACATAGGGCTTCAAGCTAGAGGCTTGAAGTTTATGTAGCAGAGTTTATTTTTTACAGGATGGGGTTGCTAGCCTCATGCCTAACCTTTCCTCTTAACCAGCATTATTTCTGACCTAGCGAGGTGAAGGAGTGCGTCGGCCGGGGATCGAACCCCGGACCATGTGCATGGTCGGCGAGCGTCCTAACCGCTATGCCACCGACGCACAGTGAATTGTGTTAATCGCTTTTAAATTACTCTTCAGTGTTCCAGACTTCTGAAATAACCTTGACCTTATAGTTTAACTGACTGGCGTAAACATGCAGAAGTTTTCACATAAGTCCAGTAGATAATGTTACAACACTTGATAATTTCAAATATAAGCAGATGGAAAAAATGTAATGCAATAAGCAGATATATGTGGGAGAATAAATAAACTTTTAGAATAGGAAAAATGGCAAGTAGATTTATACTTTCGGTAACAGTGTTTCGATTTCAGTATCATTAAAGGTCTGAAATAGATTCGCACTATCACTCAATGCAATTATTACGTTTATCTCAGTCAAAACATCATAGTCTATAGTGAATGCATGTGTTGTGTATTTTTATCAGTGTTTGTAAAGAATTACTCTGCCCGTTATTTATTAAGAGTCGTCGGCAGATATTAAGAGCTTGCAAGTGCAATCAGTGCTAGGTTAAGATTCAGACTTATTGGTTGAGGATAGAAGGCTTAGAGCCTATGTTAATCCTTTTCTAGTTAATTTCTGTGGTTGTCCAAACCCTTCTTGGACGAATCAGTTGAAGTTGCAGACACCACTTCTTCTGGGAGTCGGTTCCAAGAGTTAATGACTCGATGTGAGAACCAGTACTCAACAGCAGTATGATTTCTTCTTGGCTTTTGAACTCTCCTGCTATGTCCTCTAAGGTGTTCCGACCTGGTGGGAAGGAAAAGAGAGAATAAGTCAGGTCCCTAGTCATTATTTAAAATTTTAAACATTGTGATTAAGTCTCCTCTCTGCCTACGGTATAACAGTGAGAAGAGATTTAAACTGTGTAGTCTTTCGTCGTATGATAAGTTAGTCATACCGTGAACCATACGTGTTGCCTTCCTTTGAACCCTTTCTAGAATGTGTGAGTCCCCTTTTAGACAAGGGCTGGCGGCCTGGATGCAGTTTTCCAGTCTTGACCTCACCAGGGATGTATATAAGGAGGTGAACATATCTCTGGTGATTCTAGTGAAGGCTCACTGAAGGTTTCGAGATTTTCTCCGATTTTTGGTTACGCGAGTTTTGTTAAATATATGTTTCATACAAGTTTCCGGATTTTTCTACTGAATCTGTATTTTCCCCTTAAAAAATATTGTATGAGTTGTGATATAGAATAATAAATAATGAAGATAAGTGTACAGGCGTATTGGCTTTCTAGATAACTTAATAACACGAATAGCCCGAATTGCTTACTTCATTCGTTGAAGAATTCACATGGCTGATTATGCTATCATATTTCAAAGTTCCTAGTGAGGTGCATCTAAAGGGAACATGAAAGGAAGTCATATTTAAGCCAAATAGCACAACTGTTAAAGTAAAGTTCACTTCTTTTTCTTTTTTGTTTTTACTTCAGAGCTTTTTAGGACTTGGTCAGAGTGTCGATATTAAAGTAAATTTACAAGATGAAGAACATAGGAGAAAGGAGGAACTAAGGAGTGAAGATGGGCACATTCATTCACTACCTGTTTATTATGATGGTGAAAACGTTTGTGGATCTGTACATGTTGGTCTAAAGAGAGGAGGAAAACTTGAACATCAAGGAATTAAAATTGAATTTATTGGTCAAATTGAGCTATACACTGATCGTGGGAATCGTGAAGAGTTTGTTGCTTTGTGTCAAGATTTAGCACGTCCTGGGATACTTTCTCATTCAACAAGCTATCCATTTGAATTTCTTCGTGTTGAAAAGCCGTATGAATCATACTGTGGCACAAATGTTCGTTTAAGGTGAATATACATTTTATATGCTTTCTAGATAGTAGATACTTCCTGCGAGTAACCATTCAAAAAAGAATTGCTGATGTAACGAAAGAATTCGAATTAGTGGTTCATTCTACCATGAGATGTTCTGAATCAAGTGACAGTATTCAAATGGAAGTTGGAATAGAGGACAGTTTGCATATTGAGTTTGAGTACAATAAATCAAGGTGCATTTCTAATTCTTTTATATTTAAGGATTTAGATATCACTTACAAGATGTTATTGTTGGCAAGATATACTTTCTTTTGGTTCGAGTTAAAATAAAGAATATGGAGATACAAATTCTGAAACGTGAAACTATTGGTGCAGGTAAATAATAGTCAATATGTTACATCTTATATTTACAGGACCAACTGCATTTACGGAAACTGAAACTGTTGGTAAATATGAGATAATGGATGGTGCCCCTGTACGTGGCGAGTCAATTCCAATTAGGCTATTTCTGCATATCTATGGCTTAAGTCCAACTATGCGTGATGTTCACCGCAAGTTTTCAGTACGATATTTCCTAAACTTGGTACTGTTAGACGAAGAAGATCGACGATATTATAAGCAGCAGGTAAGCTTAATATCTTTAAGCTTCAATGCAGAAGGCCTGAATAAGATTAAGTTTTTCTTTCTTTTCACCTGTCTGTTTGCAGGGATTTGATTGATTTCAAGTCACTAGAGAATGAATAAAAACCATGCAGTGCTATAAAGTTATTTCGTCCTAGTTTTAGATTCTTCGGCAGCATCTGCCAGAATCTTCAGTCAACCAGGGCGAGTCCTTTAATCATTCCTTTCTTGTCCACACTTTCAACAAGTAGTGCATTATCATCGTTTTTACTCAAACATTAATAAACTGTGCAGAAGTGCTTCACTTCAAGTACACAAAGGAAAGAAATATAATATCCTCATCCCCAGAGCGGAGCTGGCTTGCTGATCATCTGAGGGAAATACTTTGTTTATGTTACATGCCTATTTCACAGCAGTAGAGCTTCGTCCTCAAACCTAAAACGAGTGTGAGCGACTTATGCTAAGATGATAACTGCTTTTCACCTAACCTCTATCCGAACGACTTTTCTGGCAGTTGGGTCATTGCGATATGCATTTATACACCACTACGTCAAGGTAGCAGCTATGGGTCGGAACTAGACATCGGATTAAGTCGAAGAAGAGTTAGGGGTGGTAACATCAAAGCATGGTATCAGTTCAACTTGAACTGGCACTCCACTTATGAATATAGTTCTGCTTTGAGAAAATAGTCAGTCTTTCTCTTGAACAACTATATCATTCGTGTACTATAGGTCAACGGGACAGAGACCACAGATTATAGATCACATAATTCATGAGGTTTACGCGATGAAAGATGAAAAAATCTCAGTGTAAAACATGAATACTCAGACAGATTTATCATCTGATTTGAGTTTATTCCCAGAAGATGTGTTACTAATGTCTCGATAACTTTTCGTGTGGCCGAATATAAAGTGAAAGCAGGTGAAGATTGATTTTTGTATTATATTTATTTAAAGACATACTTGTTACGGTGTAGACATCGAGAAACGCGTCGTACAAAATAATAAAACAACAGTATAGTGATTAAAGCGATAAAACAGGTAGTGAACATCATGATGAAACAATTAGGCATATTTATTATCAAGTATGTTCAAGCGACCTTTCATTAATCCAAATGTTAGAAGAAGCAAAAAGTAGTACAGTGTATCCCATGACTGAGTCAAGTTTGATAACGTCTCGAAGAATTGAGTCACAAGATCTCCTGAAGCTCTAAAATAAGGCCTCAACAAATGTTAATCCCAAAATAAGATAATGTGAAGCTCAGTTAAGTGCAGGTACATTAAACTAATGGGTTCCGAATCGAGCAAAACGCGAATCTTAGATTCAGCTCTAATTTTACACCAGCTAAAAGATAAACATAATTTTGAAAATGAAAATGTGATAATTCGATTAGCCATAAGACTGCCAACATACTATTAACAAGACTTGTCTCGTGCATGTGAACGAACAGAGGATCTGTCTGTCTGTTTTCGACATGGAACTTTGCACATATGTGCGGCAGTTCAAGTCGCCACACTTCATGTAGCACACAAAGCAATAGAAGAAATGCATATTAGAGACAGTAAACAGGTGTGAGGCAAAGGTATAGTAATAACGAAGAACAAAACAGTTTGATTGGAAATCATAAGTCACAAAGAGTGGATGCATCTGCGCCATTGAGAACGATTTTGAGCCATGTCACCAATTTTTTCCAACCATTGGTTTTTACCGTCCCGGGGACCCCAACCAGGAAGTATACACCTTCCTACGTGGCTTAGACTAACTATTGTGGATTTCATTGACTGGTGCCATGTTTTCGTTTGACCACCACTAGCTTTTTTCCAGCCTGATCGACCCTATGTCAGCTAACATTGCCCGTTGGTCAAGGAAGGCGATAGCTAGACATGCATGCGTAACACATGTCCTAACCATCTCAGTCGATGTAATTTCACAGTCTCGTCGATTGATTTCCCCTCCTTACCTAGCGCTCGATACCTAACCTCAATATTGCTCACCTTATTATACCACTTCACACGGGAGATAGAACGCAGGCACCTATGATCAAAGACAGCTAATCTTTTCATGTCTTCCGCTCTCAATGGTCTCACAGCCATAAAGGAGGACGGAGCGGACTGCTGAGTAGTAAACACGCCCTTTGGTCGATAGTGTGTACTGCTCAGCAGTTGCGTTGATATTACTGTCCATGGTTCAACCACATACTGCTAGATTTCCCAAGCATGGACTGCTGATGAAGCAGTGATTCCTAATTTCTTCTATCCATATCATAAGGAGTATAGAGTAATAGACTCGACTATGAATTTGTGATTGCTGAGTGGTTTTTAAGTGCTCAAGTCATTTTGACAACATTCCAGTCACAGTTAGCAAGAAGTGTGTGTTCTTTACTTTAGTAGTATTTCCCGATGTAATAAAAAGCGTTTACAAATGCCTATTTTTTTTAATGTTTTACTTTTTCAACATATACAATTTAGGAAATTATACTCTACCGAAAATCTGATCGGCGACTTCAAGCATACGTCCAACAAATTACAGAAAAAGGTTATGATGAAAGCAAATGTGTAGACAAGGAATTGAAAGCTAATTGCGATGGAGAAATACACCCGAAAAATGAAGTAGCTAACGAGGTGAGAATTTTGTTTTGTTTTAATCATAATAACCAAAGAAAATTTGAGAATAATTTAGTTAGAACACTTAATTTCTAAATTAAAATTAATGTGTTTTTTGTTGTTGGTGTTGTTTGTTTTTACTTCATAACACTATAGACTCCTGATGGTGATACAACAAACCACCATAGACAAGGTGATGATAATACAATCAAATCAAAACTACTTCCTAGTCATGATTCTTCTCCTGGTGGTGGTGTTAAACAAGGTGATGATGTTCAAGTATGCGGTATTGACGGAGAAGACAGTGATAGCAATGACTCATTCTCTCCGCATACACGTTCAGCGAGAAGTATGCATCGCTATGAATCAAAACAAGTTCATAAGTATACTGAACCTTCAACTACTACTATCAGTATTCTTGCAACCGATTCACCTACACATCCTTCTGATATTTCAACAACTACACAGAATTCAACTTAAGGAGATTGTAAATCTATCCATCTTAAATGCATACTATTTAAATTCAATCCAATATATATAACTATTTTGACACCTCGAAGAATAGCTGTGATATAAAACAACACTATATGTAACTGACTTTATCATCTGCATTTCTGTTGTTTCATCAGGGCTATAAGAAAAAGAAAAAAGTCACTTCACATTAGCGATATGTGTCTTTCACTACATACTGCTATTATTACTATTATTATTATGATAAACGAAGCGAAATAATGTTGTAGACTAAATCTCCTAATTGCTTGACATTCATATTATTATACAATTTCTTAATTATTTGGTATCGCATTTCTCTGGTTGACTAGGTAGTTATTGATGATAATGATGATGATAATAACACCCGGTTGTTGCGAATATACACGTAATTAACTTTCGATTTCCTTCATGATTTTTTACACTTTACAAAATAATAAAATGATTTTAATCGTAAATATTGTTTCCTCTCTTTTTTTTAAATATCTTTCCTTAAAAATAAAATCATGTTTAAAAATACAAGTCATCATCCAAGGTGATATGAAATAATAAAGTTAGTTCTTGTGTACATATAAATAAGGGAGGTGGGGAAGGGAGGGGAGAAATGAATCACAGGATTTGGGTTTAATTAACTAAATATTATTAGTAGATTTATACAGATTATATTATACGTGATTTAGAGCATGATGGACACTTGATGCCTCCGTTAACTAAACAATCTTCATGGCATATATGACCGCATTGAAATATAGCCCAAGGATAAGAATTCTCCTCTTGTTGTTGTAGTGGTTTGTATCCATCATTACTTTTTGTTTGATCGATTATTCTTCGTCTTGACTGTGCATTAGTATTATTATTGTTATTGCTATTATTATTACTATTGTTCAGTATAGGCTGTAAACAGACGATACATCCAGCATTAGATAGATAGCTTGAATTGACACGCATTCCTTTCATTTGCATTTTAATAACACGTAAGAATAATTGATGCATATCTGAAGAGAGAATACGTGAACAGTTTTGTTGCAGTTCCAGTTGAATCTAAGAACCCAAAAAACCAGGAAAACATGCATTAGATACCACAATACATACAGTGAAGGTTACAGGATTTCATCATGAGCTGACATTAGTTAGAGAACCATTGGAAAACCTGGGAGTACTGGACAGCTGTTTCGTCATAGCTTAGGACTCTTCATCGGTGCACACCCACCGGGGCTGGAACCCAGGACCTTCTGGTTACAAGGCGAGCTCGTAGACCATTAAGCCGCTGGGACCCGATCCAGTGGCCCATGAATTCTAACCTCTGCCCATTCACCAATTCTCGAACATACAGTGAAGTAATTTAAATTTAAAACAAGCAACAACTGTGAAAGCAAGTCGTATTTGATGGTTTCATAAATTTCAGTAGGACTCATCAGATAAACATGCCTGCCCTACAAACATAGTTATTAATACAATTCCCTTTTAAGGTTGAGTACATATGAACATTGTGATAACAAATAAGGATCAGTTTCAACAAATACATGACCTATGAGTAGTGACTGGTAATCTGTTAGCGTCATTGTTAAGTGAATAATATTCACTTAACAACACATTGACAAATAAATTGCAGTTATTATGATATAATTAATACAGTTATAAACATCTAAATTTCATAATATTGAAATTTAAAACAATTAGTTCCCCTTATGAATTTAGACAAAGCAATAAGAAGACGTAATTTGTCTGAATCATGTAGTGTTGTATTTGCGCAACACATTTCGAACAATCTGGTCACATGCGGACTTGTAATAGGAATATATATGAAATTAATAAAGAGATGAGAAAATAAATTTGGGCCAAGTTAGAAGGACATATTGAATATCAAAATAACAATGAAAATCACGAAACCAAATAACAGAAGTAATCGTATATCTACCCTAGTATCAAGACAAAGTTTACCAAGGAAGGTTTAGTGTGATGACGAATTGTTTTTGAATACAAAAAATTAGTTTAAACTTCCTAATTGCCAGAGCTTCCACAAACTTACGGATGTCCGCAAAATATTCTATAGGTAGGTTTAAAAGACGTATAAACATCAATTTTATGTCCTGTCTCTATAATATGTATCGCAATAGAGGAGCTGGGTCTCCTGTTCTCACCATTGATGGGTTCTGGGGATTCTATTTATTTCTGGAGACATTTAGGAATATACTATGAAGCCCCTTGAAATACAAGGAAACTTCGTAAAACACAGATGAATAAATTTAACATACGTCAAACACGCAGGACCAAAAATAACAAGATTTTTACATGTCTGGTCTAAACTCATAGGATATTTTGAACACTCGGAACCAGGATTCATACTCAGCCATGATTTTTCGATTTGCAAGTATCCTCATGAGAAAACTAACAGTATGCTATTGAATCAGGTCCGAATCGTCTGTGAGCTTGTGTTGTAACCGGAAGGTCCCTGGCTTGATGAGTGCCAAATTGGGACGAAACGGTTGTTTAGTACTCCCTAGTGGTTTTCAATGGTTCTCTAACTGATATCAATCCGTGAGTAAACTTGAAAAATAAATCAACTCTTGAAAAAGGACAATGGTAATAAGAGGAAATTGTAAAGAAAAAATGGAAGGGAAGGAAAATTAGAGGTAAAATAATAGTTTGCTAACAAGGTAGAGTTCAGCTAACTACTAGTATCCTTTTGTAGACATAGATCGGGTTTCTTTAATCTGATTTCGTAAGCTTCGGTAATACTAAGGGCTTTTATTATTACTTAGCTTATTAAATAAATGTGGAGATTTTACTCAACGTCACAGTCCAATAAATGTCTTGTGACTGAGCTTCTTAGGATGCTATCATGAGTGAATAGAAAGCAATTTGGGTTCGCACAGCCGAACAGTCTCACAGTTCGTTTGCTATTCAAGCCATTTGTGGGTATATGATCTCCCACTTTTACGTGCAAAGCGCGATTACTCCTGCCTATGTACGTGTGAGCATACAAACACGTAAATTGGTGTATAGTATGCGGTGTGTGACATAATCACTTGTGCAATGTTGAGGCTTGTAGTATTATAATTCCCTTGGTTTCCGAGTGGAAAATAGGTCTTCAAAAGCACATTTTCATTTTTGTTCTACTATTCGGTGCCCAAGTGGCCTAGTGAATAACGCTTTGTGCCTCGGTGGCATAGCGGTTAGGACGCTCGCCGATATGCACATGGTCAGGGGTTCGATTCCCGGCCGACGCACTCCTTTACCTCGCTAAGCCACTAGCTCGAAACCCTATGTTCCACTGGGGAACGTGAAAGAAAAAAATTCGGTGCTGTCCTATTCAGTTGGGTCCATAATCTCTCATCTCCTCCGCGCCTCACGATCTCCTCCATGTCACCGACGACACACAAGAGCGACGGCCTCCTCAGTGTACGCCCGGTCCATCCGCACTCTCTCCTACATATTTGTTGAACAATCGGCTCTTGGTTGGTTTGTTCCCAACCAGCGTTTCTTGTTGCCGATTCTTTCTGGACGGCCAGCCATTTAATCTTCAGTATGGAGCGAAGGCAGCTGTAGTACAGTATGTTTTTGACTTTTTCGATAATTCCACGCCGGGCTGCATATCAAATTTTACAAATGACTGAATTTATTCTCTGTCTTAAAATCCTACTATTTATTTCGCTGTAGCAAGGTAATTTGATGCAGGCATCTTTATTTGGGATGGAAGAGACACTAGCCTCTCTCATTTCCAGTGGATTTTCTAAATGATGTTGGTTCGCGGTGAAAAATATTTTGATATACAATAGAAAAATAAGAAAGCTTTCTAGTTATTAATACCATTGCAATAAGTATTGTATCTAGGGAAAAGCATTTCTCTACGACTGAAGTACATACCTTATAATCATGCATAAGCTTGATCAATGCATCACGAAGTCCTGGTATAGTCATATCTGGTGATATTTTACGTAGTAGTAAGCGTGAATCAAGACCTTCACAGCCTGCATTTTGTAGTAATGCACATATAAAAGCAGGTTTATCAGCTGCAAAAAGAATAACCTGTTGCCATAATTCACCAGCATTTTCATCACCTTCATCTTCATCGCCATCTTTTTCAAAACTAGAATTGCCCAGATGTCGATGAAAATGACGTTTACTTTTTGTATGAATACCATCTTCTTCTCGACAATATTCAATTGCTTTTGCAGCAGCTATAGCTTGACATTGTTCTTGTGTAGTTGGTTTACCACTTGATAAATCTTCACCGCCCTATTTATGTATAAAAAGAGGATATTAGAAACAAAATTACATTTAAGGTGAATAAGTTAATTACGAAGTGTTATTAACGCTTGTCCTTTATATGTAGACAAGAAATATTAGAGTTTAAAGCAAAATTTTTCTATAGTGGCAGTAGTTAGTTGAAATGACACGACATGAAAATTAGACGATAATATCTAACGGATTTCAATCAGTTGATTTCATACCAACTTGGTGAGTGCTGCCTGCAAGACAAAAATGTAGACAACAATTGATGTCAATGTTTACGTCCCAAATCTTGGTCATGAGAAAAAACGAGAACAAAGCCTAACCTTGAGGAACTCAACAACCAATCACAACAGACTTAGCGTGGGCGGACACGATTTATAGATATATCAACGGATTGTCTTAGAAACGGCAACAAAGACATGACAGAATAACCTTCAGCAGGAAAACAGACAATCAGAAGACGTTGCTTCTCTGCTAACAATAACGATTAGTAATGTACATAAAAAGCTATAAATATCTGTTGATTTTCTCAATAAACGATCTGTTTCCTGGCCCTTGTCTTCTGTCAGTAAACGACAACCTTTGTTAAACTGAACAAAAATAAATATTAAGTCCTTACATGTTTATTTCTGGATTTCGCGGATGATTTATGTTTGATGTCACACAAAATCGAAGACTTTCAAGCGAAAACCGACAAACTGGTCGAAGAAGCAGCAAAGACAGAACTCCAGGTGGACATAGACAAGACGGAGGTTATGAATATAACCAACCAACCAACCAACAACAGCAACAGCTACATCCAGCGCCAATCACCATCAACGGGAGGGATTTGAAAGAGGTTACTTCTTTCACTTATCTAGGGAGCATTGTCTCAACTACAGGAGGAACGGACGACGATGTCAAATCGAGAATCGGGAAGGCGAGAAACACATTCATCAACCTCAAACCAATCTGGAAATCTTCGTCACTCAGCATCAACAACAAAATTCGGATTTTCAATACAAACGTCAAGTCAGTTCTTCTATACGGATCAGAAACTTGGCCAGTGTGTCACAAAAGAATATTTCCAACAGTCTGTTGCAGACCTTTATCAACAACTGTCTTCGTTCCATACTGAAGATTAGATGGCCGGAAAGAATCACAAACAAGAAACTATGGGAACAAACAAAACAAAACCAATCGCCCAACAAATATGCAGGAGAAAGTGGAGATGGATTGGACACTCGCTGAGGAGGCCGCTGGGTGACATCGCGCGTCAGGCCAGTGCTCGAGTGGAACCAGAAAGGGAAGCGGCGAGTGGGACGTCTAAGGGTGACATGGAGGAGATCGTGTGAAGAAGAGTTGAAACAGTATGGACTAAGATAGATGCAAGTGAAAAGTACAGCAGAAGACAGAAACAAGTGGAGACGTTGTTGAAGCCCTATGTTCCACTAGGAACTCAAGGGAACAATAAATAATACATGTTTATTTAATAGTTATTCCACACTAACTATTGTTGGTAATTTAGCAATAAATCTAACAATTGATACAATCAATAGACTGAAACTATCACGGTAACGGTGATATGGATCATCGACTTTAGCAGTTGACTTCGAGTCATTGAATTCTGGATTCTAATATACCTTCACATACATCAGTCCCAGTGATTGAGTAGTATCATCGACCCTGGTACAAGAAGTGTGACTACTTTATAATCTGTTACATAAAGAATCTACTTTGAGTAATTGAGTTCTAAATATCGATATTACAGTGTGTTTATATTGTAAACTGAAATGACTAGGTATTCGAATCCCGTTCACTAGCAATGGGAGAGTAACTTATCGTTCAGTACCTATTCTTTTACGTTCCAAGTGGAATGTAGGACTTAAAGCTAGAGCTTTGAGGTTTTGGTAGCAGTAGTGATACTCTTTTTTCTAGTGGGTTGGGGTTCCTAGCCTCACTTTTAACAAACTTCCCTCTTTACCAGCCTTACTACCAGCTTAATGAGGTTTAGGAGTGCGTCAGCCAGGGGATCGAACCCCGAACTATGGGAGGCGTGGTTGGCAAGCATTCAACCGCCGAAATACCAACGCATATTTTAAATATATTTATGGAAAAATGGGTTGCTTATTAGTTTGAAATTTTGTCGTTAATCATAAGTCACAAAATAACTTTAGACCCGGTCTGAAGTCCTAAGGCTCCTAAATGATCTGTATTTAGATTATGGGATTTGAATTAATTTAATTTCAATTTTTAGATTTCGTCGTGAACTAACCATTTCAATGTGAAGTGGATGCTCACCGAACGCATTAGCGGGGGTAACGTAATATCACCAGTTGACAAAGTTAGAATTCATGGGCCATTGAATCCCACCCTGATTGGCTGAATAATCAACGATCCCTGTTGGAGTCATGGGTGTGCGCTGTTGAAGAGTCTCAAAATAGGGTGAGAAAGCCCTCCAGTGCTCCTCAGTTTTCAATAATCTCTTTGAGTGTTGTTAGTTTGTGACTTAGTTCTAACAAGTGATCTGCATTTATTTATTCTCAGATTTCTGTGCAACATTGCATTGCGATCTATTCTGTCTTGTAACACACTTTATCAACTGATGAAATAAATTTTCAAATATTCATGCGAAATAACCTAATTCGTTGCATAATAAACTCTGTGATCATTGAGTCAGTGGTTCAGTGGTAGAATGCTAACCAACTAATCGCCTGGCCCAAGGTTTGATTCCCGGCCGCCAACACACTCTTTTACGTCGCTAAGCCGGTAATAAGACCGGTGAAGAGGGAAAATTGGGGGTAAGGCTAACAACTCCATCCCGTAAAAATAAAAATCACTGCTACCGAAACTTCAAGGCTCTAGCTAAGGCTAAGCTTTATGTTCCTCTGGGAACGTAAAGGAATAAATTAATAACAATGATACAGTATTATTTACATTAGATGACGTTTCGAACACCATTTATTGTTCATAATCACATCAATAACTACACAACTCCAAAAATTTCGTTTTATAGTTCTCTTTATTCCTTCCAATTCGTTGTAAGGGTAGTATAATTTTTCATATGTCCGGGACAGGTATTGAATCATTTCTATTGCACGTATTTTCAGTTGATTCGATACATAAAGCTTCCTTTAACAATCTCACCTCCCACCCAGTTAAATTAGATTTTAAGAATTTCATCTTTCCCATCTTATTGTACGGTTGTGTGTAATCGCTTGAGCTATTCTCCAGATATCTTATCTTATTAGAGTCAACTAATATAGAATTTCAAGTGTTGATTTGCTGAGATCTGATTGGTTAGCGGATTTCATCATGAGCTGACATCGGTTGGAGAATAATTGGAAATCCCCGCAAACTATGACTTAAAAATCAATACGATGCTCATTGGTGACTGGCCCTATTCAAGTAGGTAGTTACCTGGGTTCTAGTCAGAATTCGCGATCAGTGTGGTACAGAAGGTCGGGTGTGGGGACAAATACTCTCCAATGACATTGGCTAGTGGTCGCGCTATATCATGAATTAGTAAAAGTTGGAATTCATAAGCCGTTGGGTCACGTCCCAGTGGTTTAATGGTCTACGAGCTCGCCTCGTAACCATAAGGTCCTGGATTCGAACCCCGGTAGAGGTGTACTGATGAAAAGTCCTGAACCAGGACGAAACAGCTGTTTAGTACTCTCAGGTTTCCCAGTTGTTCTCCAAACGATGTCAGCTCATGACGAAATCCTGTAACAAATCTAGATATTGTTAAGCTTTTGTGCTCCCCTAGTCTGATCAACCCCGTTCCACTACTCTGAGTTGATAATCATTGGAAAATATCAGATAAACTAATTTGTTTTGTTCAATAGGCTTCACTCACAAGTTCCTTTAACTGATATGGTTTATTTCTAGGTGGGTTTATGGGTTTGAGTGTCATTTTTATTCATTTTTATTTTACCTATGTGTTAAACTAAACACGCAGGCATTTCTTTTCGACACTTGGATACAACTCACTGGCTTTCACAAAACAGTTTGTGAGGTTGACTACCTCCCATGCACAGACTTGAATAAGTTAGCTGAATTACATTTCACGTCGCTATGAATAATAATCATAATAAATCAACTTCACAATAAGAATATACTATCATCATCATCACAAGGAACAACGATGACTTACCCGTGTCATAATTAATTGTAAAGCATCATGACGTCTACCAACTCTAGTTAATAAGTATACAGTTTCTGGGACAAGTTTAGCACGTTCACATAAGCTTAAAGCTTCACTTAATGGATATTTGTCTGTTGATCGTAATAATGGCAATAGTTTATTACGACAAAATTTGATGTATAATGATATAAGATGAGTTAAATATGGATAAACTATTTGTGGATATCTGGAATATACACTATCCAAAAACTAAAATAAAAAACAAAGATAAAATAAGGATTACAGACAACACAAAAGAAATGTACACAATATACATGAATTCAACTTCAATTTAACAATAGATTTTTCATAATCAAATACAAGACTCAGGGATTGACTTCCTACCAGGGAATAATCTTGTTGACTTAGAATATGCAGACAATATAGTCCTCCTAGGCGAGGACGCTGACAAAATGCAGAGTCTTCTGAACACCTTGAGCTGCAATCTACGAATGTTTGGCATACGATTCGCTCCCGCCAAATGCAAGATGAGGTTACAGGATTGGAGTACACCGACTCCTAGGTTAGAAATGGGGAGTAAAGTGGTAGAGCACGTTGACCGCTTCACTTATTTGGGAAGTACCATCAGCCCCAACGGGTTGATCTCCAACGAAATCTCAGCACGGGTACAGGGGGCTAGTTTCGCATATGCCAGTTTACGCCGTCTCTGGCGTAGACGCGATATCTGACTATCGACAAAAGGGCGTGTGCACTGCTCATCAGTCCGCTCCGTCCTCCTTTATGGCTGTCAGACATGGTCATTGAGAGCAGAAGACATGAAAAAATTAGCTGTCTTCGATCATAGGTGTCTGCGTTCTATCTCCCGTGTGAAGTGGTATAATAAGGTGAGCAATATTGAGGTTAGGCGTCGAGCGCCAGGTAAGGAGGGGAAATCAATCGACGAGGCTGTGAAATTACATCGACTGAGATGGTTAGGACATGTGTTACGCATGCATGTCTAGCCATCGCCTTCCTCGACGGGCAATGTTAGCTGACATAGGGTCGATCAGGCTGGAAAAAAGCCAGTGGTGGTCAAACAAAAACATGGCACCAGTCAATAAAATCCACAACAGTTAGTGTAAGCCACGTAGGAAGGTGTAGACTTCCTGGTTGGGGTCCCCGGGACGGTAAAAACCAATGGTTGGAAACAATTGGTGATATGGCACAAAATCGCTCTCAATGGCACAGATCCATCCACTCCTTGTGACTTATGATTTCCAATCAAACTGTTTTGTTCTTCGTTATTACTATTCCTTTGTCTCACACCTCTGTTTACTGTCTCTAATATGCATTTCTCCTGCTTTCTTCTCTTGCTTTGTGTGGTACATGGAGTGTGGCGACTTGAACTGCCGCACATATGTGCAAAGTTCTATGTCGAAAACAGACAAACAGAATCAAATACAATACAAGAGTGAAATAAATTAATTGAATTTTTAGATTTTCCCATCGATTGGTTGAACCGAAGTGTTCCGTCTCAGGTTGACATGTCGGCTTCTTGTGCAGATGCTTCGACGATATCTGGGCATTTAATTAAAAGTTAACTAGTGAATGGTACTAGCAGTGGAATCCATGTCAACCTGTGACCGAACACTTCAATCCAATCAATCGACGAGAAAATCTAAAATTGAATTAAATTATCAGTTGTTAGATTTTCGTCATAAATCAACATAAGTTAGAAAGACCATTGCAAACTAGGGAGTAGTGAACAGTTGTTTCGTTCTGCTCTGAGACTCTTCAGCAGTGCAAACCCAGAACCTCCTCCCCACCATGTCAAGTCGAAGTCGATGCTTATCTATGGTACTGTTGAAAGCAGTAGTGAATCTAGCTGCATTCCACTGCTAGTCACCATCCACAGGTTAAAGAGTGAAATAAGTTTCTAATTGGAAATATATAGCATTCATTGGGCTGAAATCATACATATACACAGAGGTGGTCAGCAGTGACGCTATTCAAAAATGAATTACCGTGAATCGTACATAACAAGTGAGGTTTTTATTAGAATGACAATTCATCTGGCATCTGAAGCACAACAAATGTTAGATAATTCGATGGAATAATAGTTTTACACAGAAAGAGAATGATGAAGTATAACTGTAAATATGAATTTTGTGATAGGATGAGATGTCATTTCATAGGAGATATTTTGGTGTGAAAAACTTGGAGGATCTGGACTTCGCCGATGATATATGTCTGATTTCCCACAAACTGGAAGGTATGCAAGCGAAAAGCAACAAGTTAGCGATAGAAGAAGCACCAAAGATAGGACTTACTTCAGGTGAACATAGAGAAAACAGAGGTGGTGAAGATTCCTGGGCAACACCACCACCACCAACAACAGACAACGATCAGCATAAATGGGAGGAACCTAAAGAAACAACCTCTTTTACCCACCTGGGAAGCATCGTCGTTTCAACTACAGGCGGAACTGACGAGAATATCAAAGCAAGAATCGGAAAAGCAAGACAAGCTTTCAATACTCTCAAGTCTGTGTGGAGGTCAACAACTCTCAGCATCAAAAATAAGATCCGGATTTTCAACTCCAATGTGAAGTCAGTCAGTGCTACTATACGGATCAGAGACTTGGCCAGTAGGTCATAAAGAGCATCTCAAACAATCTACAGACCTTCATTAACAGTTGTCTTCGCTCAATACTACTCAAGATCAGATGGCCAGTCAGTAAAGATCAGCAACAGAGATCTCTGTCAATGAGTGAACCAACACAGCAGAAACCGATTGTGAAACAAATAGGCAGGAAGAAATAGAGATGGATTGGCCATACTCTGAGGAAACCATCAAGTGACATCACTAGACAAGCCATCGCTCGAGTGGAACCCGAAAGGGAAGCGGTGAGTTGGTCGTCAGTACAACGGTGACTTGGAGGAGGTCATGTGAAGAGGAGATGAAAACGTGTGGGCAGACTTCGAGCCAGGTGAAGACTAGCAGAGAACCGAACGCAATGGAGATGTGTGCCTGAAGCCCTATGTTCCTCTAGGAATTAAAGGAAACAATAATAATAATAATAATAATTTTGGTTTGATTAAAGAATTCAATGTGACAAGGTTATGTGCACGAAATGTCTCAGAAAGATCATTCACAGTAGAAACACATCATATGGCGATTCGTCGTTATTATTGCTGTGTCTTTGAAGATGCAGTAACAGTACCTCTAATCAAAATGCCGACAGCGTTCGACTGACTCACAACGATAAAACACTGCAGAAAAGTGTCAAGAAGTACACGAAAGTAGAGAAGAGAAAGCTAAGAAGACTAGAATGCACAGAAGAGAGAGAGAGAGAATAATTTGATGAAGGTTAGTGAACGAATGGAATGTTGCCCAACAACCATTTGCAGTTCCATGAAGTTGGCAATAAATCATACCTACCGTGTGAATCCCAATGATACAACCTGGCTACCTAAGCCTCAGTAGGTGGAGAGGGGTTTGAACCTGTTACCCACAAGTTGAAATTGGAGCTACAGCTTCACAAACTGAAAGTGGTGTCAGGAGTGGGGGGGATGGAACCCACACCTACGCTTTGGACCGCCCGACCATCTTGGCCGTGTGAGAATTTTCATAATCCGGATGTGATAACAAGAAGTGAATACATCTGAGTCACTGCGAAAGATTTCAGGACACATGACTGATAATTCTCACCCATTGATTCTCAGTATCTCGTGGGTCCCCACCAGGCAATATACATCCTATGTAACTAAAACCAACAGCTGAAGGCTTCAGTAATTGGTGCTACAATTTGATCTTAACAATCTTAACTCTTTTCTTACTTTGTACGATTTCAGGCTAACGCCCACCGCTGCAGGTAGGCGGTGACTAGCAATACGTAACATAAGTCCTAACAACCTCAATCAACGGGGCTTCACAAGCTCATCAGTTGGTATAAACTCCTTACCTAGTACTCTAAGCCTAACCTCATCATTACTGAATATATTCGATAGGAAGCGGCTAAAAAATAGTGATCATCTTGTGATTCATCTTATGATCAAATGACTGAAAAATTTCATCATCTTATTTTTTCACCCTGACCCTAGGTTAATCGTCGACCAATCACAACAATCTATATTCCACCAACCTAGTCAAATTTTAATGTGGTTAGGAATATATAAATATGATATGCTCTCATCCTAATAAATTGGTATCCTAAACAGTCACAAACCAGTCTTTCTTTATCTTTTGATATTCACGTGGCTCAGTCAGTCAACTGGAAGGTACTAAGGGAGGAATAACCGTATCTAGCATATATCAGTTGAGTTGTCCATTGAGTCAGTATCTCATTATACCCACGCAAAAGTCCACTCAGTCATATTAACTGTCGATAATATTATATCAATGGGTGACGGATTCACAACAATATTGTACCAGCTACCACGGGATCGGAAAGAGGTATCTACGGCCAGAAGCCACTAATCTTGTCATATCTTCTACACTTAACGATTACCTTTCACAGTCGTAAAGTACGAGGGAGTGAAATACTCCACACTGTACATGTCAGTAGATACCTAACTGGATATCATGCCCGTGTCAAATATGATACAAGTAAGTGAATGTTAAACGAACCTTTCGTATTCGAGTTGAAACTTCGTCAGTGGCTAGCATAATTAGAGGTGTTGAAACTCCGTAAAAAAAGTATAGGGGTCAGCCATTTCACTTCGTGCATCTAAACCAGGAATGACTGAGAACCAATGCTGCACTAGTGTCTTGCATTTCACAAAGGGTGAATCACATACCCACCTTTTCCTTTATCAAGTCTCTCGTCTTCTAACGTTACAGTAAAACAAAGAAGCAAGTTTTCCAAAACGTGTGACAAAAGTTTCAATATATAGTGAAACACTTTTTTGATTCACAAAAAACAAGTACACAACACTAGTCAAAGTGATTTATCGATCAAACACTTGTTGAAATTAATAATTACGTGTTGTTAACAAGGTCATGTGTTTTTGTGAAGGTGTTAACCTTTTGAACGGATAAAAAAATCATTTTTATAAAGTATTCAGGTTTGATCACGAGTTGACATCACTCAGAGAACCGTCGGAAAACCTTCAGGGAGTACTGAATGACTGTTTAGTCCTAGTTTGGAACTCTTCAGCAATACGCACCCACCGGATTCGAAACCAGAACTGCCCGGTTACAAGGCGAGCTCATAGATTATTCAGCCACTGGGACTTAATCCAGTGGCTTATGGATTCTAGCTGCTACCA